CAGCAACTCTATTAATGAATCTAATATCGATCCCCTATATTACAAAATCACCATTATCTAGTTTTGTCTTTTCTCCAGTAACTGAAAAAGAAGTCTATGAACAACTATCTTCATTRGATGCCCGCAAATCTTCATTAGGCATGCCTAATAAAATGATTAAGATAGCTTGTGAACCCTTGTCGAAAATATTCAGGCCTATTTTTAATCAATCCATTTCTCAAGGAGAGGTACCTAAAATCTTAAAAATTGCAAAGATCACCCCAATATATAAAAGTGGATTAATGASCGACGCAAACAACTACAGGCCTATTTCTACCCTCTCCTCTTTCAGTAAAATCTTAGAGCGATTAGTTTACAACCAACTTATATCATTTATCAACAAAAATAATATTCTATATAAATATCAATTCGGATTTCGAAAAGGTTTCTCCACTGAACATGCTATTTTGGAATTAACTGACTATCTAAGAAGTGTCATTGATAACAAACAATATACTTGCGGAATMTTTCTCGACTTCTCAAAAGCGTTCGATACAGTAAATCACAGTAAACTTTTAAAAATATGGTGTACGTGGCCTTCCATTACAATGGTTTTATAGTTACTTATCTGACAGAGCCCAGTTTGTGCAAATAAATAATATGAAATCAGAAAAACTGACAATGAAATGCGGAATTCCCCAAGGATCTACTCTCGGTCCATTGTTATTTCTCATCTATATAAATGATCTTGCCAACTCATCAAATATTTTAAAATTCAGAATCTTTGCGGACGATACAAACATTGTTTACTCATCTAAAAATCTAGATGAACTTCAAAATGTAATAAATGATGAACTGYCTAAAGTATATAGGTATTGCATTGCAAACAAATTATCAATTAATTTTACTTAAACCAATTATATGATAATAATAAMAGCACAACAAAAAAGTGMGCAAATTATTATTCCTAATTATATAGCCACATATTAATCCCAAATAGGTAAAAGCTGGATTTTTCGTTAATTTTGGAATCCTGTCCAATTAAGAAATTAATTGGACAGGTTTTCAATTGGGTTTTTGTTAAAAGCTGTGGTTGGCTTTTACCTATTTGGGATCAATATGTGGCTATATAATTAATAGGTAATAAGACTCCATGCTGTCCAATTAAGAAATAATTAGACTCGAAAAATTCCTCTGACTGCCAAATTGGACTCGGCCACGGCCTCGTCCAATTTTTGGCAGTCCTCGGAATTTTCCTCGTCCAATTATTTCTTAATTGGACAGCATGGAGTCCTATTACATATAA